CGTCCCTCTCCCTTCCCCGTCCCCATCTCCTCCCCCTCCCTCCATCCTTCCCTCCCGTCTTCCCCTCAATCCTTCCCCTCCTCCTCCCCTCTCTCCCTCCCCCACCTCGAGCTCCTGGCTCTCGCACTGGTCCAGCAGCTTCCTGAAACTGAAGGCGCTGTCCGCCATCACCGCCACTGGCATCTTCCCGGCCAGTCTCGCCGCCGCACCTTCCAGACCGCGGGACCACAACCCCCTCCCTCCATCCTTCCCTCCCGTCTTCCCCTCAATCCTTCCCCTCCTCCTCCCCTCTCTCCCTCCCCCACCTCGAGCTCCTGGCTCTCGCACTGGTCCAGCAGCTTCCTGAAACTGAAGGCGCTGTCCGCCATCACCGCCACTGGCATCTTCCCGGCCAGTCTCGCCGCCGCACCTTCCAGACCGCGGGACCACAAACTGTCCCTTGGAGCGGCGCGTCCGAGATGACGTAGGGCTGGCGGTGCCACCCAATGCGCATGCGCGAGCGCCGGTGCTTCCTGGGGCCGGGGTGCGCTCTGGGCCGGCCTCTCGGTGCTCTGGAGGACCGGCCTGGAGGGAGACGCTTCGGCCCTGCGGACCTGGGCACCGGACCTAGGCGGCCGCGCATCCTCAGTGCGCAAAGTTGCGGCTGCGCGGGAGGCTCCTTTTTGCTGCCCGGCGTTTGGGGAGCAGCGACCGGATTGCACTGGTCCAAGCGGTGCTAGGCGGCCGCATAGGGAACAGCTTAGCAAATGGACTGCACTTGGCCGTGCACGCCCTTCCTCTCCTGACACTGGGCCAGAGACCCTGACCTGCCAGTACTTTGCGCTCGCGCCTGCTCTGACAGATGGACCTAGCAACTGTCAGCAACTTGGGACCCCCACCTTCTTCTGTCTGCACACACCCTCTCCAAACACTGGAATACGTTCCTCCTCCCACGGAGGAGCAAAGGGCCAGAGTCCATTCAAGGGTCCCTCAGTTATGTCCAGGGTAGAGGGCCTGACCTGGCCTGAACCGGTTTTAGGTACATGCCCACCAAAGCAAACTGTCCTCTAAGTAAACTTTTAGGGAGAACCTCCTATTGATCATGTTAGGCCAATGCCTAATTGTGTGTGCACATGGTTAATGTCACATGCATAACGGGAAGGAACACGCACAGTAGAGGAAGTTACGTAACTAAAATCTGTCAGTCAAAGGAGACACCCCCTGAGCTAGGCCCCTCAGCAACCAATACTCCTCTTGAATCCTAGAAAAGCCTCAAAGAATTATTGGGGCCCCAGAGTACCCTCACGCATGTGGCCCACTGTCACCCGCATTTCTTCCCGACCTTGCTTTGCTTGTGAAAATCTGTGTGAACTCATTTCACTTCTTGAATGAGAAGCAAGATTTTGGACACACTTGGTCCAGACCTCTAACACGTAGAGGACTCTGCGCAGACTGGCAGGAGAGTGAGGCCAAAATGATCACATAAACCCTCCTGGAGCCTCCCTGCCCATCAAGGCTGCCATAACAGAGCCTTGGCAAAAGAAGTATGTACTGTACAAATACCCCAGGCTGCTGGGCACGGGCACCAATGAGCCTTTGACTGCCTGCTCTGGCCCATCCCCACTCTCAGAGGTGCCTTTTCCCCTTAATAAAACATCTCTTCTGTTGCTCTCCATATGTCCCTGTCTGAACTTTTGTTCAGGGATTCCATAACCTGAAAATCCCAGTGGGTTCCTCCAGACCCCAACATCCAGCTGTAACACCGGCACATTATGCCCACGCTGTGTGCTCTGATGTCCTAAAGACCTCACCAATAAAATCCACCTTTTAGATAAACTTATCAAAAATTTCAAGAAGGCAACAGCCCCAGCATTTGCTCAATACTTCTTGAGTATTTTTGCATAATTAAGATCTCTGTGTCAAAATAATTATGCTTAATGTTCTAGTTAGAATAAAAAGATAAACACACAGTAAAAAAGCACTTAAAAGTCCCTCAAGGACTTGCTAGTATTCTATAGTTTTGATCTTTAAAGTCCCCCAGAGGCCCATGGCACTCAGAGGTGGTGGAACGTTTGAGAGGTGGGGCCTAGCGACGGGGCTGTCTTATGGTCACTGGGAACACACCTTGAAGAGGATAGTGGGACGTTGGCCCCTCTCCTTTCTCTGCTTTTCATCCTGACTGTGAGGTGAGCAGCCTTGCTGTGCCATGTGCTCCTGCCCTGTTCTGTCTCCACAGCCCCAAAGCCATGAAGCCGACTGACCATGGGCTGGGACCTCCAAGGCCATGAGCCCAAATCTGCCACATAATGAGTTGATTATTTTAGGTATTTGTGACAGTGATGGAAGGTGCACTAACACACAGCTTTGGAGAGGAAGGCCTGTGGTGACTGTCCTAGTTAGCATAACTGTCAACCCAACCTAGAGTCACCTGAGAAGGGAGTCTTAATTGAGGGATTTCCCAGATCGGTTTGACCCGAGGGCATATCTGTGTGGAATTGTCTTGATTGTTCATTGATGAAGGAGGGCTCAGCCCACTGTCCGTAGTCGTATTCCCTGGATAGCCGGCCCTGGGCTGTAGAGCTAGCTAAGCCTGAGCCTCCGTGAACCATCAAGTAGCATTCCTCCATGGTTTCTGCTTCAAGTCCTGCTTGAGCTCCTGCTCTGACTTCTCTCAGTGCTGGACTGAGACCTGTAAGCTGAAATAAGCCTTTTCATTCCCTAAGTTGCTTTTGGTCAGAGTGTTTTATCACAGCAACAGAATGAAACTTGAACAGTTACTATACCTAGAGATGCTCTGGAGGAATAAAGCAACCATGTTTTATCAAACAGCTGCAAAGAAGAGAAAGACTGGGTCAACATGATTCTAAGATCATTTGCACAAAGTTGAGGACCAGGATTTAAATGTTCAGCTTATGATAATCACCCCCCCCCCCCATCTGTTTGAGGCAAGGACATTG